CTCAAGGTCGCACGACTACAAACTCTGGGGCTGTGAGCCTCTCCCTGCCTCTGGTTCCTCTCCTGGCTTCCCTTCATGGGCACAGTGATGTCACAGGCCTGCGTCCCTGGTCTGAAGCCAGAAGTGGAACTGTGGGTGCCTCAGCCCTGCTCCGCACAGTCACAGGCTGCTGGAAGCTCCATCCAGGGCATGCACTGTGTCACGTGAGCGACGGCAGCCCGCCCTGCTCAGGGTTACGGAGAAGCGTCCGAGGCCAGGCCCTGCTCAGCTGAGAGATGGGCTGCTTGGAGTGGAGCAGCCCCTGGCAGTGGCCTGCACACGGGCTGGGTTTCAGGGCCAATGCCCTGGTCGCCTTGACCCCTTCTGCCCCCGCACCCACCCCGCGTCCTGCATCCTTTGTGGAACCAGCTGCCCCTGCGTGGCAGGAAGTGCCCATTGTCCCCGTCCCTCCCGGGAATCCCGTCTCCCATGCAGGCCTGTGGAACGTGTGTGTCTCAGAACAGCGGTGCCAGCCCTGGCCCAGTGCCCACACGGGGTGCTGCTGTGGCTCAGGCAGGACGCACGGCCGCAGCATTTCTGGGCTCCTGGGCCATCGCCCGAGAATGGACTCTCGCCTGTCTCCTTGAACTTGAGATGCAGTCTTCCCTGAGCTCCTGGAGCAGTGGCCCGGGCCAGCACAGGTGCTGCGTGGCGCTGGGCAGTCGAGACCTGTTGGAGGGTGGACGTCAGCGGGTGACTCCGTGGCCGTGGTCCAAGTAAAGACCTGAAAGGAACTGAAAGGAAGGGGGTGTAGGGTCGCCTTAGATCAGCACATACCAGGAACCCAACAGGTTCATGGACAAATGGAATTCAAAGGTGATTTTGGTGCAGAAAAAAAAATTGAAATACGTGCATATGAGGAGTCTGCTAAATGTTCATGTGAAATGAACGTTATAAAAACTATGCAGAGCTCTCAGAAATGTTTGGCACCAAACATTTTTGGAAAATTTTTGAAAAAAAAAAAGGCATTTTCTTTTTAAGATTTTTTTATTTGAAAGCCGGAGCTACCAAGAGAAAGATCTTTCATCTGCTGGTTCACTCCTCAGATAGCCACAAGGGCCACAGGGCTAGACCAGGCCAGAGCCAGGAGCTTCACCTGGGTCTCCTACGCGGGCACAGAGGCCCAGGCACTTGAGCCATTTTCCACTGCTTTCCCAGGCTCATTAGCAGGGAGCGGGATCGGAAGTGGAGCAGCCGGGACTTGAACCCATGCCCCTGTGGGATGCTGGTGTCACAGGCAGAAACTTCACTTGCTGCGCCACAACACAGGCCCCGTCGACCACCTTTTAATCCCGTTTCCGTCCAGACTTCTTGAGACAGTGAGTCTCCTCCATGCCAAGCAGGCGTTAAAATTAGGTAGCAATGACCGCTCTCCATCACTCTCCCTGCAAGCAGGGCATAAAAAGTCTTCCTCAGGATTGGTGGAGCGGTCCAACGCCTGTGTAAAACATGAACTTACTGGGGCAGGTGTTACGGGACGGTGAGTGGAGCCTCTGCTGGGGATGCCCACACCCCGTATCCGCATGCAGGTTCAAGTCCCGGCACCTCCACTTCCGATCCAGCTTCTACTGATGCATCCTGGGAGGCAGATAATGGCTCAAGAGCCTGGGCCCCGTCACCCAGGTGGGAGACCCGGATGGAGTTCTCAGCTCCAGGCTTCGGCCTGGCCTGTACCTGGCTGTCGCAGGCACTGGGGACGTGAACCAGCAGATAAACGACCTCTGTGGTTCTGCCTTTCAAAGAGGTGAGAATATTTTGAGAACAGTAACTTACTGTGGTTATACATTGGAATTTGAATATAAGCTCAGAGCTGCTTGGAGTTGGAAGTGTTGCTGTTTTCTCTCTCTGGCACGTGATAGCACTGACCACTGTGAAATTGCTGCTTTGGCGGAGTGAGAACAATTGAACGCGAGCCCTGCAGGGCAGGCCCACGCGGGCGCCGTCTGCCTCGGCTCCAGCAGCCACACACTGAGGCACCGGGCCAGCAGGCCAGGGCGCGTGTGGTCACTGCCGGCCGACTCCCACCCTTCGAGATCGTGTGGACAGACCTCCCTGGGCGTTTGGCACAAGCTGTGGCCTGGATTCGTGCTGTGCTGGCTGACCCTGTGCTCTGTCGACGTAGCTTTGTGCCGTGTTGGGGGTGACTGTTGCACAGGGGTGGTGTACGTGGTGTTGGAGCTACTTTGCGCCGTGTTGCCTATGTGGTTTTGCTCTGCATTGGGGTAGCTTAGGCCGTGTTGGGGCTGCCCTGGGCTGCGTGCGATGACTTTGTGTCTGTGGGGTGGCTCTGTGCTGCCTGGGGTGACGGTGCTCGTGTGGTGTGGCACTGCACTGGGCCCCTCGACCTTCTCCCCCGTGCGCCGTCTGCGTGGGCTCACAGCCCTTGGCGTAAAGGTGGCTTCCTTTCCACGGTCTTTCTCACCCATCCTGCCTCGGGAGCATGAGGCAGTTTGGGGCCTCTTTGTTAATGTCAGGGGACCGCCACAGGGTCTCCAGTGAGCCCCGACTCGGGCCGGGCAGCTTGGCCCAACTCCCCCCGACAGTGCCCTGACTACAGATCACTCAGGACACCCCACACCCTGCACCCGCTATGATGGGGCTCGTCTTCCTTGACGAGGAGGCAGCTTGTCTTTTCTAGAAGGATTTCCGACTGCGGCTTTCATGTGCTCCTAGCCCGGTGCACGGGCCGTGTGGAAGCCTGAAGAGGGCTGTGTCGCCCCTGTGCCTCCAGAGCCGAGACAGCTCTGCGTCCTCCACAGGGCGCCGGGAGACCCCAGGCTGGCCCCCATCGCAGCCACCTGGAGGGCCGGAGAGCAGCCATGCCCGGCCCCCACCCCGCCACCCCACTCCAGTCTGATTTTACTGGCCTGGAACGTGAGGTTTTTAAAAGCTTGATGACAGGTAACTCTGTGTGGCCCCCACCCTACAGCCCAGGTGACCCCACAGAAGGAGGTCACAACAGCCCCTGCCCATGGTCAAGATCTCTCTTGGCGGGAACTCCTTCCTGTGACTTCACCCCTCGAGCGCCCACGGGCCCCCGCGGCTGATGGCTGAGCCTGGGAGGGACCTGGAGCTCTGCGGTGTCACACAGGAGAGTCAGGCAGCCCTCCACGGGTCTGCTGGGACACAGAGCCAGGCGGCCGGGGGCCACAGGGGGCTGCTGGTGGTCTTCCCAGCTCTTCTGGGTCCCCTAATGAGCAACATTACCTCTGAATTTTTTTAAGATTGACTTATTTATTTGAAAGCCTGAGTTACAGAGAGAGAGAACAAGATCTTCCATGTGCTGGTTCACTCCCCAGATGGCCGCAACGGCCAGGGCTAGGCCAGGAGCTTCATCCGGGTCTCCCACGTGGGTGCAGGGACCCAAACACCTGGGCCATCCTCCACTGCCCTCCCAGGTCATTAGCAGGGAGCTGGATCAGAAGTGGAGCAGCTGGGACTCGAACCAGTGCCCACGTGGGATCCCGGTATCTCTGATGGCAGCTTTACCCGCTGCACTACAGTGCCAGCCCCTGGGTGTGACTTTCTAGAGTGCAGAGGGAACGTGCTGCTGCTCACCACATAGGAAGCCACGATGCACCTGGCTCCCGGGGACCCTCTGGGCACAGACAGTGGCCGCTTGGGCAGAGAAGCCAACACCGCGGTCTCCTACAGCCTGCAAAAGGCCTGTCCTCCGGCCCAGGCCAAGGTCAGGGCAGCAGGACAGGCCTGCCCCCCTCCCACCTGCAGTGCCGCTGTGAGCCTCAGCTGCTGCACCCGAGGCCCCACCCACGTTGGGGTTTTTGCAGGGTGCCCTTGGAACACTGGATGTCAACTGGGCGCCGAGGGCACCCCGGGCACCCGCTGGAGGAAGCCCAGGCGGGGACCCAGGGCAGCAGAAGGACCAAGGTGCTCAGGGATAGGGTCAAGGTCGGCACCCAGCAGGCCCCTTGCTGGAGAGGCCGCTAAGGGAGTGTGAAGAGGACCAGGGCCACTCCTTGGGAACTTGGCACCGACTGAATACACGGCCCCGGTTGGAGCAGATTCCACCCCCTCGTGCCAGGACAGCAAGTACCGCAGGTGCCAGCAGCGAGGCCCCCAGGGTCTCCCTCGACGCTGTCAGCCCCAGCTATTACTCCACGACCCTGGCATGCGGGAAACGTGGCCCTGTGTTTTCCTTACCTCACTCTAAGCCCCAACCTCCAATCTCGTGGGAAATTCAACTCCAGGCATTACTGGGCTCCTCGCCATGCCCAGGGCTGCCCCCCTGCGCAGCAGCTCAGGAATCTCGAGGCCCAGTTTTCTGCCTGGAACAGAAGCCAGAGCCGAAGGCAGCCAGGAGGAGTTTGTATTCCAGCAGTGGTCTTGGGCCTGGGCTCCAGCTGCTATCACAAAACACCACCCGCCCCCAGGCGGCTTCTACAAGATTCCAGCGTCTCACTGCAGGGCAGGGGTTCTGGACCAGGCCTGGCCGTCAGAGTCCAGCGTCTCACTGCCGGGCGGGGGTTCTGGACCAGGCCCTGGCCGTCAGATCCCAGCGTCTCACTGCCGGGCAGGGGTTCTGGACCAGGCCTGGCCGTCAGATTCCAGCGTCTCACTGCCGGGCAGGGGTTCTGGACCAGGCCATCAGGGTCTGGGGAAGCTGCTCCTCCCAGCGTCTCTTCCCGTGGTGGGGAGGGGGCTCCAGTCTCTGGTTTGAAGGACACTTACCCCAGCCCATGACGTCACCTAGAGCTCCCTACCTCCCACAGAGCCTAGCCCCTACCACCACCCCGGGGTGGGTTAGGGATTCCACAGGTGCCTAAGAGGGCGGGGAGAACACAAGGCAGCCATTAACGTCTTGGGAAGGGCTCCGCCAAGTGGACAGTACTCACGTCCTGCATGGCTGCCATACCTGGGAAGGACACACAGGAGCCGGGCCCAGGGGCGGGCCCCCCAGTGCAGCTCAGGCCCCCAGCTCAGCCTGTCCCTGTCGCCCGCAGTGCTCGTCCACCTGCGGGAAGGGCCTGCAGTCCCGCGTGGTGCAGTGCATGCACAAGGTCACCGGGCGCCATGGCAACGAGTGCACCGCCCTCTCCAAGCCGGCGGCCTACAGCCAGTGCCAGCAGGAGGTGTGCAATGACAAGATCAACGTGAACACCATCACCTCGCCTCGGCTCGGTGAGTGCCTGGCCGGCCGCCGCCCGGCGCGCAGTGTCCTCCGGCGAGAGCCCCTGCTGGGCTGGGTTCTGCAAGCCAGAGAGTCCTCTTCCTGGGCCTTGTCATGCAAGGGCCTTCCAAAAGCTCCTAGAAGGTACAACCCAGAGCGAAGTTCATTTCTGGCCTGGAAACATTTTGAAATCCGTGCACAGTTTTGTCACCATACGTGTTTTCCGTGCACAGTTTTGTCACCATAGGTATTTTCCACAAACTTTTTGAAGACTCCCCCCTCATATGCAGTTTTCAAAAACTTGGCTCCAACAGAAGCTTATCTTTTAATTGTTTTTCCATGAACTTGGGGAATTACACTCACGAGGCCAGCGTTGTAGAAGGGGTTTGGGAGGAGATGGACTCCCCCTGTCGTGAGGGAGACTGGCTGTGGTCTCACAGGGACCTGAGCCCCCACGAGCCCCTGACAACCGGAGCTGTCCCTCTGCCACGTTAGGGAGCCTGTGAGGCGGGAGGGGGCTTACGAAAGACCGGGCGTCATGTGTTAGGCCCTGCTGCCGTCCACCGCGGCCCCTCCTCACGGTGGACAGCTGGCAGCTTTGGGTGCAGCTTCGCGCTCCGTGCAGGGGACACAGCCCTTTAGCCAGCCACGCCATGGGCCACTGGCGGACAAGCAGAGTGGGACACTTGGCACTGATCTGAGGAGTCCCTGCAGCCGAGCTGCCGCTTTTCAAAGAGAAATCCCTCAGAGTGATTTTGCTACCCCAAGGCCCTCTCCCTAAACCCTGGCCCTCCACCCAAGGGGAAGGAGGGTCCGGCAGCTGCTTTTGGGGGTGCAGATGACCTGTGACCTTCACATGCCTGAGTCTGCCTGGCGTCCTCCAGAGACCCTCCCACCCCCCCGTCCTCATGACCAGGACCCTGCAGGAGACCTGGGCCACTTGTTTCTGCTTTGGCCTTTTGTGGGTCCTTCCGTGTCCACTGTTCATCTCCTGTTTTATAAATGCCCCCAGCAGTGGTGTCCTCCAGGACACAGCAGTGGCTCTCAGATGCCAGTGGCCTGTGTCCCCCGACGCTGGCCCCCAGAGGGGCAGCAGGACCCCCACACTCAGGCAGTTGGGCCAGATGCAAGGTGCATCCCCAGGTCCCTGGCAGGGGCGTGGTCTCCACGGTCTCTGTGAGCATGAGGGGCCGGGAGCCAGAGAGTGGGGCCTCCTCTGTGTGTGTCGGGACAGGCTCAGGCCACCCTCACCTCGGGTGTTCTCTCTGCCCCCCGCCTTAGCTGCCCTGACCTACAAGTGCACACGGGACCAGTGGGCGGTGTACTGCCGGGTCATCCGAGACAAGAACCTATGCCAGGACATGCGGTGGTACCAGCGCTGCTGCCAGACCTGCAGGGACTTCTACGCCAACAAGATGCGCCAGCCGCCTCCGCCACCGAGCTCCTGACGCTGGTGCAGCCGTCACTCAGCGCTCCCCTTCTGGGTCTGACACCCGGGCATCTGGCAGGTGCCAGCCCCGCGGCCGGGATCCCCCAGAGTACACCCCCGCGCCCACCGGGGCTGCCCCAGGAATCCAACCACACAGAACTCGACCGTGGACTTGATGTTTGCCATTAGTGCTTCTTACTTAACGTGTCGTTAACCGCCACTGGATGGCTTTCTACAGTAGGGAAAGACCAGCCCGGGTCACAAAGTCTGGTCAACATCCAAGGCTCCAAGTACCGCAGAGGGGGCCGCCCGGGACAGACGCCCGTCCCGGAGAGGCGTGGCGTCCCGGCCTCTGTCTCGGCTTGCTTTGGACGTTCGCGGGGCAGCACGCTGCAAAGGAGAAGACACTTGATTGACTCAAGGAAGCAAGGGGCGGGTCTTGTTCCCGGAAACACGAGAACCAGGACTTTGTATCTCTGCCCGTCTCTGAGTGGACACTCCCCTCGCCACCCGTGATGGCGGAAGGGTCGGGCGTGGGGACGCGGGAGAGCCTTATCCTGGAGGTGGGCGACTGCTTCTTAACTCACAGGTGAACCCAGGACGGGGCCTGGGACCCCGCACCAGCCACAGAAAGCTGTACACGCTGCGGTCGCCAGGTCACCTCCCAGGAGCTTTCCACTGACCCTGGCCTCTGAGGTTAGGGTCCCCTTTCGGATCTCCGAGGACACACGCCCCGGCCTGGGGTGTGCAGGGTAAGCCTGTTCCTCATCCTGGCACCAGGCGGGTCCCCCCCAGGACCACTCAGCCTGGAGGGGGGGTCTAGGCTGGCATCACGGCACACCCCCCACTCCTCCCTGAGCCCACTGTCATCATGGTGTCACACACACACACACACACCCCGCAGAAGCCCAAAGCAATGGCCACGGAGGCCCGGAGGGCCCTGCCTGCCCCTCCGGAGCCAGGCGGCCTCTTCCTGGGCGCTTACGTGGTGGGCTTCACCCCAGGGTTCACACAGGTTCTCCTTGGGCTCACTTCCAAGTGCTTCCTGGTCTATTGGTGCTGTGTGTCTGTGTCTTTTTTGATGTCGCAACTTTAGGAGTTAGCTTAAATCAGAAGATAAAAGCAGCCAGCTCTGTGCCTTGTCCATCCTGTGTGCGGGGCTGGGTTTTCTTGTTGATTCTGCCCCTCCTGGAGGCAGAGCAGTACCAGGAAAGGCCGGGTGGGCGTGGCTTCACTCCCAGCTGGCCCAGGAGACCTGCTGGGAAGCTTCCTGAAGACAAAGTGCCTGGGTGGCCTCCCGCTGTCACCCCCAGGCCTGTGCCTAGCTCTGTACCCTGCCCCCCAGCTCAGGCCTGGCTGCCACAGGCTCCACACTCCCCAGACAGGCTGTTGATTCAACAGACATGAGCTTCGGGGGCCAGGGTCTACACGGCAACACCGCCTGTGCCTCCGCACGGGCCCAGGGCCCACCTGAGCCTGGCCAACAGTGCACACGCCAGCAGCTGGGCATCCCCCGCTTGCCACCACTGCCAGGCGGCCGCCCCGCGCAAGGGCCCAGGCCTTCAGATCTGCACGCACTCCCTGGGTTCAAAGCCCACATCGTGCCCAGCCCTCTCGGCTCAGGCCGCAGGGTGGCTGCCGAGGCCCCCACCAGGCTGACGGCCACGAAGCCGTGGCGACCTCCCCGACCCACTTTGTGTGGGCCCCTGGAGCTCAGATTAGAGCGGTGATGCTTCTGTGGATGAAAATGTCCCGTACTGTCACTCGAGTACTGTACCTGTCCCTTTCGGTGCTATTTTTACTGGTGCAACACGAGACCCCCTAGCTGACTGGGCTTGGTTCTATCAGAACACGGAAGCCTCATCCCCCTCCCCCACTGCAGAGTCAGATGTATATACTTCCCACTAGTAACTTCCACTATGTACTGTACCCCTGGTATTTGTTTTACTTTTTTGGTGCTGGTTTTAAAAGAAAAAAAAAAAAGACAAACATTGGACACCATTATACATGAAAAATTAATCATTTCATTGGAAGCAAGTTGAATATGTGTAATAAAATGTTTTTCCATAACAGTTTTAAGCTGTCTGAAGTAAAAGACGAAAGCCAGTCCCCACGGGCTGGCAGCGGTTGGGGGGCCCAGGTCCCTGGCTACGCGATGGCCGCCTGGCTGGCCGGGGCCAGAGGACGCCTGAGCGAGTGCTAACAAATCGTTCTGCCCCAGGCCTCATCCCTGTGTGCTCCCAAAACCCTGGGTGGGGACGGGAAGATCTGGCAGCCGTGCGTGCGTCTGTGTCTGATGGGGAACAGGGGCCACCTTGCTGGCGGCGTGGCCCACGCTCCATGGGAGAGGGCGGCTATGCGGGTGCCTCCAACAGGGCATGGGGTCCTGTCATGCCGCACCAGGCACCTGCTCCCTCCAGCAGGATGTCCAACTTGAAGCCCCTGCTGATGGCCCGGCCAGACTGCCTCCCCAGCAGGTGTGGGGGCCGGCCCTACCCCCTCCCAGGACGGGGGACATGGCAGGGGCAGCACGCCTGGGACCACCGCAGCCCTTGGACCCCATCTGCTAGGGAAAAGAATGTCACAGTTGGGGATGGGGTGTAGGGGTGTCCCATCTCCTGGGACTGGAAGACTGAGGTCCCCACTCAAGAACAAAGGACCGCCTCGTAAGTAAAGCAGCACCCAGGAATTTCATACACCACACCGCCCCCAGCTGCCCCCACCCCTGCCCTGTTGCCAGGAAACCTGTAGTTCAAGTTCCATCACCTGTCCACCTCCAGAACCTAGAAGAGCCTTCCCCTTCCGGAATGTTCTGATCTCTGCAGGCCGACTCTGAACCGCCCTGGTGGCGTGCAGTCTCTCAGTGCTGCTTCCAGTCCTGGGTGGCCCTCAGCCGCTATGGCCATTGGATGACAATGACAATGTCCCCATCAGCAAGTGTCCGGTGTCTATCAGGGAGCAGTCCTAGAACAGCCAGGAGTGTGAAAGAGTAAGAGACCTGCTCAGGAGCCCACCCCCTGAGCCTGCAGACACAGCTGGGCACCACATGACAGGAAATGAGCAAGAGGAACAGGGACTCCCGGGGGGGGGGGGGGCAGGACTTCCTGGGTGGGTTTGTTGCTTGACCCTCCAGACATGGACTAGGTGGCGTGGAGCAGGAGCCTACGTATGGTGGCACTCTTCTCCCACCACCAATCTGCTTGCACCTGTGTTGCCTTGCTGGTGGCCTGCCCGAAGGCCAGCGCTCCTCACACCCACACCTGACCCTGTGGTGCCCTGCGGCCATGCCGCCAGCCTCCACCTCTGCACTGGCTCCGGGCTCCAGGCTGCAGGGACACCTCCATGTCCTCACCTCCCAGCTTCCTTAGCACCACACTCTGACCCTCTCCTCTTCCTCATCTCTGCAGCCCCCCCTCTCTCCATGCTCTCCCCAGGTCGGATCATCCAGACCCTAAACCATGTACGGGGCAGGCACTTGGCGCAGTGGACAAGTTGCTGTTAAGAAGCCACTTCCTCTATCAGAGTGGCTGGTCTGGTCCTGGCCCCTCTGGTTCTCACCGAGCTTCCTGCTAGTGTGCGTCCTGGGAGGCAGCAGCTGTCTTTGGGTCCTCGTGGGACACCCAGATGGAGTTCTAAGCTCCTGGCTTTGGCCTGGCTCAGCCTTGGCTACTGCAGGCACTTGGGGGATGGAACCAGTAGATGGAAAAGATTCTCTAATAAAATGAAATTAAAAACACACGGTCACCTCCCAAATAAACTCTTTGGCTCTGGAGCTCCCCCACCCCACGTCCTCCATACTCATGCGTGGTCTCTGAACCTGCAAGGTCAATCCCCGGAAGCTCTGAGACTGGGATAAGCCCTGCTGGGTCGTCCCATACCTGCAGTTTGGGCAGGGAGCTCAGGGGGAATGGCTCACCTCTGGGGTCGGGGGGGGCTCCAAGGACAGCTATCCAAAGGCTCCTGTGTTCACACCCCCGGCAGCACCTGCCAGCTGTCTGTTGAACTTCAGTGAGTGAGGGGTGTTGGTGGGACACCTACAGGGGTCTCTCTGGGGCAGCTGGCTCTCTTGCAACATGACAGATGTTTTCAGTGGCAAAACCCTGGAGAGAGCAGAGGGACACTCATGACAGCTGCTTCAGTTCAAATGCTTCCCTCCTGCCCCACCCCAGTGAGGCACAGGGAGGCCCGCCCACGGGTAGGTGGAGAGCACAGGAGCCCACCTTTCGTCGGGGCGTAGCAAGGTTCTAGAAGAGCAGGTGGGACGGGACATACCACTGTGGCTGTTTTTGGGAGGGTCAAAGAGAGAGAGACCAGCAGGATTTTCATCCAGAGAAGCAAAATGAGGCTTCTTTTGAGGGGTTTGGCTAAACCTAACTCCTCCCATCAGCAGCATGTAGGGTAAGAATCCATGGTCGTCCACAGATGCAGGAAGGTGTGTGATAAAGTTCAGCATCCGCTCGTGATCAAACCCTGCACCAGTCAGGACTGGAGCAGCCACCTAATGAAGGCCAGCCATGGCAAACCCACAGCCAACACGGAACGGGAGGAAAGCCAACGGCATTGTCTCTAAGATCCGAAACAACACAAAGAGGTCCACTCTCACTGCTTTGATTCAACGTCGTCCTAAAAATCTTAGCTGAGCCATTAAGCAAGAGGAAGAAAGAAAAGGCATAAACACAGGAAGGAAGGAAGTCCAACTATCTGCAGACTGTGGGATTCTATATACAGGAAAACCTGGAGATTCCAGCAAACGGCATTTAGAAATCATACATGGGGGCCGACGCCACAGCTCACTAGGCTAATCCTCCGCCTGCGGTGCCTGCACCCTGGGTTCTAGTCCCAGTTGGGGCACCAGATTCTGTCCCGGTTGCTCCTCTTCCAGTCCAGCTCTCTGCTGTGGCCCGGGAGTGCAGTGGAAGATGGCCCAAGTGCTTGGGCCCTGCACCCGCATGGGAGACCAGGAGGAAGCATCTAGCTCCTGGCTTTGGATTGGCGCAGCGTGCTGGCCGTAGTGGCCATTTGTGGGATGAACCAATGGAAGGAAGACCTTTCTGTCTCTAACTCTGCCTGTCAAAAAAAAAAGAAAGAAAAGAAAAAGAAAAATCATACATGAATTCAGTGAAGTTGCAGAATACAAAACTAACACACAAAACTCAGTAGCGTGTTTATACACCATTAAAACCTTGCTGAGAAGTAATCAGGAGGACAACTTAGCAAATATGTATAATGCTATCAATATATATATAATGCCTAGGGATAAATTTAACCAAGGAGTCAAAAGACTTCTGCAATGAAAGTTGCAAAACACTGATGAAATAAAAAATATCCACACACACAAATGGTCTCCAATATTCATGGATAGGAAGAACTAATACTGTTAAATGTCCTTATTCCCCAAGGCAACCTACAGATTCAGTGCAATCCCCATCAACATACAATGACATTCTTCACAGAACTAGAAAAAACAATATTAAAACTTACATGGAAGCACAAAGAACTCTAACAGCCAAAGCCATCTTGAACCAAAGAACAAAGCTGGGGACCAACGCTGTGGGGTAGTAGGCAAAGCCTCTGCCCGGTGCCAGCATCCCACATGGGCCCCAGTTCGAGTCTTGGCTGCTCTACTTCCGATCCAGCTCTCTGCTATGGCCTGGGAAAGCAGTGGAAGATGCCCCAAGTGCTTGGGCCCCTGCACCCACATGGGAGACCTGGAGGAAGCTCCTGGCTCCAGATCAGCCCAGCTCCAGCCATTGTGGCCATCTGGGGAGTGAACCAGTGATGGAAGAACTCTCTCTCTCTCTGTGTCTGCCTCTCTGGAGCTTTGCCTTTCAAATAAATAATCTTTTTTTTTTTTAAAAAAAGTAGGCAAGTGATCTGGACAGTCATTTCTCAGAAGAGGAAATAGTAAAGGCTGAAATTCCCAATATCATCAGCCATCAGAGAAATGGGTATCAGTCATGGTGATGTATGTCATTTCACCGTGATGAGAATGGCTGCACAGAACAAGACAAATGCCAGCGCTGGTGAGGATGCAGGCCCGAGAGAACTCTTGTATAGGCTTCATGGGAATATAAACTAGCACAGCCTTTAGGGAAAACAGCGTGGAGGTGCCTCGGAGACTAAACCCCAGTGCACCACCTGATCCAGCTACCCCACTTCCGGGTATGTGTCCAGTGGTGTCCATCAGCACATGGGTGGGCAGAGCGGAACATTGCTTAGAAAGCAGGCTAAAAACTAATTGTGGAATGGACAGAACTGGAGGACATTAAGTGAAATGAGCCAGACACGGAACGACACAGAGCGCACGTTCCCTCTCCCATGTGGAAGCTATAAAAGTCCATTTGAGTGCAGAGCGGGGATTATTAGTGGTCGGGGAGGGGAGGGGAGGGGAGGGGAGAACGAGAGGGGGATAGCAGTTCCAATACACAGCTGATGGAGGCAATGTCCTAGGGCTCCACAGAGGGTGGCTGTAGAGGCTGCGAGAGGCCTTGTGAACCACGAGGAGAAACAGAGAGAAGTGGTGAGGAGAGGGAAATGCTAATGACCCCAGTTTTATCAGTACACACTGCGCACACAGGTTGAATTCTCACACTGCACCCCACAAATACGGATAAGTACTATATGCTTATTTAAACAACACCTGAGGCTGGGTCCTTTATGTTAAAACGAAAGAGGAGGTGCGTGTTTGGTGCAGCAGCGAAGGTGCTCTCGGATCCTACATCCCACACGGGAGCGCCTGGGCTCGAGTCCCGGCTGCAGTTCCAATTCCAGCTCCTAATAGTGCGAACACTGGTGATGACTCGAGCTGACGATGGTTCAAATAGTTGGGTCACTGCCAACTAGACCTGGATGGACTTCTGGGCTCCTGGCTTTAGCCTGACCCAGCACCAGTTGTTGTGAGCATTTGGGGAATGAACCAGTGGATGGGAGATCTTTCTTTTGCATGTTCTATCTCTCTCTCCCTCCCTCCCTCTCTCTGCCTTTCAAATACATAAAATAAAAACTTAGAAAAAAAATTAAAGGGCCAGTGACCAGCACTGCAGCACAGCAGGCCGCGCCTCTGCCTGTGGCGTGGCATCCCGTGTGGCTGCCTGTTCGTGTCTTAGCTGCTCCTCCTCCAATCCAACTCTCTGCTGTGGCCTGAGAAAGCAGAAGATGGCCCAAGTGCTTGGGCCCCTACACCCGCGTAGGAGACCCAGAGAAAGTTCCTGGCTTGGGATCGGCTCAGCTCTGGCTATTTGTGGCCATTTGGAGTGAACCAGTAGATGGAAGACCCTGTCTTTCCCTCTCTCTCTGTAACTCTACCTCTCAAATAAAGCTTTAAAAAAATCTTTAAAAAACAATCTTGAAAAAAACAAAGAGGTTTATTTAGGCCCGAAGTTTACAGGTTAAAAAGTCCAAGAGCAGGTGGCTCCCTCTGTTCAGCCCGTCATGTGCTCCCCCAGCTGTGCCACGCCGTGGCAGGCAAACACAGGGCCGGCTGTGCACTGAAGGGCTGAGTGTTTGGGGTCACAACCCACTTGGCAATCCAACATAAATCCCCTCTGCAGGCAGCGCCCCCCTGACCTGCCCACTCCCCGCACCACCTACAGGTTCCACCTCCTGTGGGGACCAGGCCTCAGCACGTGAGCCCTTGAGGACCAACCACATCCAAACTGACCACACGCCCACTGCAGGTCCCACTCTTTCCTGATCAGGATCCTGCCTCTAGCCAGCCTTCCTAGGCGGACGATTCAACCTCCTCTGTGGCCTCCGTGGCCATCATAAAAATCCTGGCTTGAGGCCCTGCCTTCCCTGCCTCCCGCTGAGGGAGAAGCGCCTTGTCTGTGCCACCGAGGAAGCCTTGGACACTCGCCCCCAGTGGGGTTCAGCCACAGCATTGTTAGCATCTTGCCGCACCACACCACTGTGCTGTTGCTGCCACATCAAAGTCAATGCGTTGCCTTCATGTGTTGGTTTCTGCACGTCTTGCAAGTGCCTGTGAGGCACTAACCATCGCCCTGTACACCTGCCAGAGACCTCCCTCCCGTAGCTAGGCCTTGTGTCCACGACTGGCACACGACAGCTCCAGGCTCTGCTGGCTGGAGCACGCCTGGCGGCACCCCCAGCCGCCTCTGTTGGGGTTCTCAGGAGAGTCTCGGAGGCGGAGTCTGTGGGCAGGTAGAAGGCGCGGGGGGAGTGCCCTCAGGAGCACCATGGTGGAGAGACGGGAACCAGGCACGGGGTACAGGAACCCTAACACAGACACAACACGGGCTCAGCCCGTTCCTAGGGGGCCGTGGCGCTGGACCAGCCCCTCACAGGTGGCCCAAACGGAGGCCCAGTGTGGGCCTTTGTACTCGAGAGTCCACTCCCTTCTGCTGGGTGCAGCGCCAGCCATGCTCCTGGGAGCCGGGAAGAGAGCACCCCACAGCACCCTCCTCGGGCCTCAGTCTCCCGTTCCTACAGAATCAAGTGCCCGGTTTCCTCCCTCCATCTATCTGGGGCTCCGCCACCTCATAACCAACCCATGTCAGGCGTCAAAACCTCACTCAAAATCTCCATTGCCTCAGTTTCCCTTTCTGTCTCCCATCCAGTCAGCCATGGCACCGGCCTGGCTGTCTCTAGCCTGTCCACTTCTCCCTGTGCCTCTCGTACCCAAGGCCAAGAGGACCAAGCCATGGACCTCTCACTCTCCCCTGCCAAGCCTTCCTGCGCTGGTCCATTCGGGCTGCTCTAAGAAAACGCCTTGGACCCGGGAATTTCTCATCACTCACAATCCTGCAGACTGGGAAGCCCAGGACCCAGGCCCGGCAGATTCAGGGTCTGGTTAGGGCGTGCTCTCTCTATCCAAGATGGCACCTCTCACCACGTCCTCACGGGGCACCGGCAAGCTCTCCACAGCCCCCTCTGCGGGGGCTCCCAGCCCTCAAGGCCCACTCAGCCCTCAGAGGGCCCCCTCCCCTCCCCCCCACCCTGAGGGGAAGTTCCAACAAAGGCAGGCGGGGAGGACTGGAATGTTCAGACCACGGCACCTCCCTCCTCCCTCCTCCCTCTCCGGCTCCTTCTCCACACCCCAGCCAGGGTAATTCTCGAAACACATCAGCCATCATCGAAACCTAAGCTTCATGCCCTGGCTGCACCCTCCCGCCCCCCACAACTTGGGGACCCTGCCTCGCCACCTGCCCCCTCCGGTGCCTCTTCACCCAGACCTGTTCCGAGTGCTCTGCCTCTCCCGGCTTCCCAAGGCCTGGCTGCTGGCCCCTCCTCGGGACCTGTCCCAACCTAGAGTTATTTTGCTAACGTTGTTACATGCACATCGTTGTTTTCCCACCCATCTAGAAAGTTCCACTGAGACAGAACACATGTCCCACTCGTGTGCTGCTGGGTCCCCTCCCCTGCCTGTCCCACACCCAGACCCATATGCACTAGGGAACACACTTCCCCTGCCCTGGTTCCAATCTCTGTTGCTTAAATTATGTTCAGATAAACTAAAGATCGTACCAGGAGATGTTTGCATGGGGTAATAAAAATGCACTCTAGATTCAATGATGTTTTTGGCTTATTCTGCGAATGATACAAATATTTGGACAACAGCTTCAAGTCAACGAGGAGAGACGTCTGCTGTGTTTCAACGTCTCCGCCTGGTCAGCCACCCCTCCAACTGAGCCGGGTGTTCCTGGGGGTGGCCGTGGCGATCTAGAAGCCGTTCCCACTCCATTCTCTGGGGACAGCAGAGGGTCGGACTCAGGAGAACCGCCGTGGTTTGGGGAGGACATTTGCAAAGCTTGTTGTGGGGCTGCCATCTGGTGTCCGTAGCAGGAACATTCTAACCAAGCTGCAGGACGGAGCCGAGCCGTGGGGATAAGCCAAGTGCCTGGCTGGGACTGGGCGCGATGGGCAGCTCCCGGGGGGAGTTCCCCGGCCAGAGGCCAGCCCGTTCCCCTGTGCGCCCTGGGGTCTGCCCAGCTTTGAAGCCCCTTCCACAGCCCCAGCGGCCAAGCAGCAGCACTCGGCACTGGCCAGGAGAGACTCGGTTTCCCTGTGGGGCTCTCTCACACTGGGACTTCCCTTGGACGAGAGGAGACATCCAGGCCTTAGGGAAGCCGCCCTCCCGCGGGAGAACGCGAAGGACCGGCCAGAGCAAAGGACAAGCGTCAGCCGCACACGCAGCCCAGCGTCCTCCTGCGCCCTCGCCAGCGCTCCCGCCCAGGCGCAGAAGCCGAGCACCCGAGGAGAGCCCGGCTCGGCAGGGCTCGGGGAGACGGCGGTGCCCAGGGACCTGCTTCTCCCCTCCTCCCTGCGCTTCCTTCTCGCTGCCTCGCCTTTCTCTCTCGTCTCAGCATTTATTCTCTCTCTCCCTCTCTCCTGCTTTCTCTGCCACTGCTGCCGTGGTTCCACTGCAGGTGCAGACAGGGCGCCCGGGGCTCACTCGGGGGCCGCCCTGAGAGCCGGCTTCGCCGAGACTGTAGATGGCTAAGTGCCCTTTAAAAACGCCTCTCAAAGCATCACCCCGTCCTTGCACACTCACTGTTCTTTAGAAGTTTTAAAGGCTCCGAGTGCTCACTCCAAGCTTATTTCTTTGTGTGCCAATCACACATTCGACAGTCCTTGGCCGGTGCTGACTCCCAGCGACTGGCTTTCTGGCCCCCAAGGCTGGCTGTAACATGGCAGCTGATGGTTATAAAGCAGCAATTCGGGAAGCTGGGTCCCAGGATCGCCGAGTATTAACACGTCATTAAAACGCTACATTGCAAAGTCAACACACGATCTAACTGTTGACCTATCAAATACCGAAAGACTGAAACCTCCGTGGGAGCCAAACGCCGCCTATTAAATTGGGGTTCGGGAGATGGAGGAGAGAATGCTGTAAATGTTGCAGCAGGGTTGGTTGGATGGGCCAATGGTTTTCGCCAATGCTTTGTGTGTATTAGCTATCCGCATATATTGCATTATGATATTGCATTTTACTCTCTGTACACACACACACACACACACACACACACACGTGAAGCCTGCCCACAGTGCCTGCAACTGGGTGCCATCCAACAGGGTCCTGGTATCCTTTGCATAATAGGCACACTGCTCAATTAGACCAGGAGCCGCGAGGGACATAAAAATAACTATATAAAACATATTTACATCATGTCCCCTTTTCAGCATAAATCGATGAGCTTTTATCGAGTAGTGGGGTCGACATGGGGTGGAGGGGTGGTGGATGAGCAAGGCGCAGTCCCCTGTCCGCAGAGCCACAGCAATAAGTTACTGTGCCCCTTGGCAAAGAGGTGGCCCTGCCCAAATGTGGAAAAATATGTAAGTCTGTTCAAAACTAATAGGGCTGTTGGCTCTGGCTTCAGGATAAACAAAGCCCTACCCAAGGAGAAATCGGATCTGCTGTCCGCTGAGCCATCCAACGTGCCACAGCCAAGTTCTCAGGGGGTGACTGCCCCTCCTAGGTACCCTCGAACGAACCCTGCGCTTCCGACGTTGGACCGAGCACGAGCACCACTCCATAGCGACAGTGACCCTGCCTTGTAAGGGTGTGCACGTGGCAGACCACACCTAAAGCTCCTGCGTGGTATTCTGCGCCCAGACCGCGATGGCTGCCTGTGGTGGATGGGGGTGTCTGCACGTGGCCGGCGGCAGGCGTGAGCTGAACTTTTGCACGGCGATGTGAGGATGCTCACAGAGACGAAGCAAGAGATGCCACACCTTCGGGAAGGACAGGAAGCCACAGAACAAAATCGAAGATGTAGGAAAAAGGCCCAACGAGGAAACTCAGAGCATGAGAGCAAAGTCATTCCAGTGAAGAATCCAGACGCTAGAGGGACTTCCAGAGGAGGACTCGAACGGAGGGGTCACAAATCGGAATTTTACCCAGAGGCAGTAGAGACAAAGAAAGTAAAGGGAGAAAAAAGGTGCAGATGGATGGGCACAGGTATTCCAGAAGGTGTCAACTGCTATCCAAGAGCTACTCCAGGGATGAGAACAAAAGAATGAACGGCTGAGGGTATCCGAGAATAAAGAGGCAAGATCTTAAACCAGAAGGAACGACCACAGTGACTGCCCGTTCTCCACGGAGGACGCGTTCGTTCCAAGATTTGCACCGGATGCCTGGAATGGCCAGTAGTACTGAACTCCATGAAATCTGTGCATTTCCATGCACAGATGCCTGTAAGAAAGGTTAATTCATAAACCAGGCACAACAAGAGATTAGCAATAGCCACAATAACACAAGAGAACAGTTAATAACAATGAGCCACAGGTCTTAGCCATCTTTTAAAAAAAATATTTGAAAGGGAGAGTGAGAAAAATCTTCCATCTGCTAATCCCCTCCCTAAATGGTTACAATGGCTGAGGCTTGTCCAGGCCAAAGCCAGGAGCCCAGAGCTCTATCCAGCTCCCACATGGGTGTCAGGAGCCCAAGCTCTTGGGCTATCCTCTGCTGCCTTCCCAGGCACATTGGCAGGGAGCTGGATTGGAAACGGAGCCGCTGGGATTTGACCCAGCACTCCAATATGAGCTGCCAGCATTGGGGTGGGGGGGGGGGTAGCTCACTGCAGCACAACGCCAGCCCCAAGAACTCAACAGTCTCAGACATCCTTATGTCCTTATTAAGAACTGTGACTTTCTCACTCACAGGGAGCATCTGAGAGCGTCTCTCTGACACTTCTGAGTTGCCACTGTTGAGTAAAATGGGGCTGACTTGAACACACCACTGAGCTACACTGACTGGCAGCCAGGTGAGCACCACGGCTGTGGCGTGACTAACGGGCAGGCAGTGCATACAGCACGGACACTCTGGACACGGGTGATTCACACCCCTGGTGGTGTGGAGCAGACGGCCCAGGATTCCACAGCACACACAGGATGACGCACACCGTAAAATCCACACGCGGTTTAGTGCTGGGATCTGTCCCCGTCGTCAGAGCTCAGCGAGAACTGCAGGGAGCGGAACTGCTGCCGAGGGGAGATGGCTCCAGCGAGCGGAGCATTGGGGAGGCTCAGCTCCCTCCATCCCCAGTCTCCCCCAGCCCCCGGGGTCACTGCTCAGGCCCTCCGCCCTGCTGGTGGGCGGCCTCCCCCTGCACTCCTTTAACAAAACCTACAGCCTGAGCATCAGCCCACAAACATGACGTGCTCAAGTCCTGTCACCTTCCGTCTCCCATTGTATTCATCACGTGGCCCTTCGCAGCCACGTCTGCCACTGGGCTCTAAGCCCTCTGCCTCTCGGGCCCGCCACCCTGCCAGTCCCTCTGCCTCACCTGCCCCTCCTTCCTCACCTCCCGTGGCCCCGTCACCCTGATGCGGCTCACACGACAGTCACTTGTCCGTGATCACTCCATCTCTGCCTGCCGTGGTGTGGATATGGCCTGAGCGTGTCCCCCAGAGGTTCACGTGGTCCTCCCATGAGGCCGTGCTGAGGTAGCGGAGCCTGGGGAGAGGGAATTAGGACATCTGGAAGGGACTCATGGGACTCTCATGGAACCCCAGCCGGTTCCCCAGAGAGCGCTATTAGAAACGAGCGAGGCTGGTTCCTGTCTGCTCCCTGGCTTTTGGGCTCACTGGGTGACCTTGCTCCTGCCACGATGCCATCCACAAGGAACATGGCCACAGGGGCCCTCGCAGAGCAGGCTCTCGAGCCTGCAGTTCTCTGAGCTACACGAACCTCTCTGCTGTGTGAGGGCCCAGCCTCGGGTATTCTGTAAAGACTCATAGACCCCATTAGGCCGTGAGCTCCTTCTGGGCTGGGGCTGGCTGTCCCTTGTGGACACAAGACATGAAGGATGAGAGAGCGCGCCCTCCCTCCAGGTCAGAGGGGACGGAGGCCTTGCGGGCACTCCTTCCTGAGTCAGGGGTGATGGTGCCAGGACTCTGTCCCATCAGCCACGGGTCAGCTCTGCGAGGACATTCCAGCAGGTGCCCGTGAACTTGAACTTGGCTCCTTGGGCTGTGTGGCTCTCCCCCTAGGGACCTGAGCCTGCAGACACTGCACCTGCACAGAGAGAGCGTGAAAGGCAGTGAAAGAAAACAGAGCCTGGTCCCTTTACAGGTGTCGCCTTGGCCTCCCTTTCCCCAGGCCCTGCCAGGCCACACCGCTGCTCTCAGGTGCCCTCTGGAGGCACCACTTCCAGGACTCTGACCCAAGAGAACCCCTGCAGCCCACCCCACGTTTACCTCCATATCGCTGGATCTTTTAGCATCAGGAATCCAGGCAAGAGCACAACCTCCCACCTGAGCCCCTGAACACCATCCTGATTCTTCCCAGAGTCCACTTCCTGCGTCTCCACGCCCCCTCCCCTACCCCAGAGCCACCAGCTGCATGCTGTGCCCTGGCAAGTGCTGGACAGATGTGGGCTCAGTCCAGGTCAGCACAGCCCAGAGCTGCTGGGTGCTGTCAGGAGAGGGAGGCCTGTCTACCCAGGGTGCCCAGGCCCAGAGCCACACGCCTCGGTGATTGGAGGCTGTGTTCCCTATATCTTTCACTCCCTGTTTTGATACCGTCAACCCAGGGTATGGCTGACCCTATAGGGGCTGCCTCTTCCAGGACCTGGCGATAACCAAAAACTCACCCCAGGTGTGCCTTTCCAATGCAAACCAGCCAGCCCTGTGTCCTCACCCACCACCTCCCTCATCGCCCAGGGCCCAAGCAACGAGGGACACTCCGCACGCTCCATAGCCGAGACCACAGACACCAGCAAATCCTGAGCTCTGTGCCTCCCTGCCCCCAGCACCCACAGTGAAGGCTCAGCCCACGTTTTCACCCCATGAGCTCCTGACTGACACTGGTGCTTCCCGCGTGACCCCCAAGGCAAATCCCCTGCCCCCGGAAACTTTGTACCAAGGGACCTTGCCAATGTCAACCCCTATGCCTTTTATGCCTGCGCTGTCTTTCCAACAGGAACATGGCCAGGCTGTCGGGAAAACTGAGACGGGAGCCTCAGGTGGGCTCTCCAGGCCTGTCTGCCTTGATGGGCAGGTTCCACGGGAAGCGAGTGATGGGAGTCCACGGGTAGGTCTTAGCAGACCATCAGCAGCCAACCCCCACGTCTCTCCCTCAGCCCCCTCGCCTCCAGCTGGCCCCCAGCCCACACTTCCTCTTTAAGTTGCAAAATGAGCCTGAGCCTTCTGGGCCCCTTTGAGACAGAAAATACCAACCAATCAATCTTCTCGCGTCACCATCCCGCGGGCTGCCTGGTGCGTCTGTCCTCCCATCTATGCAATCCCTCATCAGAATGGAGACTGCCCCTGCCGACACCGAGGGCTGGCTGACTGATGGGTGAAACCACCCCAGAATGAGGCCCTGCTTGGCTTTGAGCATTTAGGGTCTGGTGGAATAATCCAGAACTATCCATCAGTCTCAGAGTGGTGGGCAGCCCCATTGGGCACCAGGGCTCCCAAGCTGGGAGGGCATCTTCAGTCCTTGTGCCTTGCCAAGCCACAGGAACAGCTCACTCTGCCTCGTGGAGTCGATGGCAACCTCACAGCGTGCAGAGGGCAGAAGGGGGTGTGGCTCCAGGGGCAGCGGTGGGTAGGCTTTGCTGGCACGTGGCAATGGGAGCTGAAACGGGGGTGCAGAGGCCAGTACGTGCCCACGAGGGCTCACACCTGGGCAGAGGACGGGCTCAACAGAGGTCTCTGAATGAACAGGTCCAGAGGTGGCCATGGACGGAAACACGGGCCTTCCCATGCCAGGCCAACAGCCCGTTGCCTTCTGCTTGGAATTGGCTAGCTGGGCTGTAGGCAGAAAAGGAGGTCTAGTTAGATTTTGTTGCTTCTACACGGACCTTGCCAGGATAGCCAGGGGGTGGGAGAGGTTTGGGCTGAGCGAATGAGCTGGTTAAGCCACACTCTTAAAATAAATTGCTCGTACTGTTTGTCCCCCAAGGACAAAACATGCTTCGTGGAGCCTGGCTCACTATTCCTTACAACACCCATATGCAAAGCATTAGCCAGCAGACTGCCCCACCCAGCTTGTTTAGAGAGGAAGATTCGTGCCAAGGTCACACAGCACATTAGGGGTGAGACCAAAAGCAACAGTGACCCTCAGCCCCGTGTCCTGGCTGTGCCGCTGTCTGATTTATTATCTCCCTGCTTTGGCCAAGGGCCAAAGCAGATCTACCAAACCAGCGACTGAGCCCTGCCCTAACATCTGGATCTAGGCAGAATCCCTCCCAAGCCGGGCGGCTGAGGGTCGTGGCTCACTCACGGCACTGCGGCTCCGTCCGCTGGTGACTGCCAACGTTGGGACCCAGGGAGATTCTCCTAAGGGAGATGGCTGGTGCCTGGAAGAAAGCAGAGAGGTGGTGCAAACTGGACCCGGATGGAAATGCATCTGGCCTGACCCCCCCCCCCCCACCCAGGGAAAGGACCAAGGGTATCCCTCCCCCACACTGTGTAGCATGCATGCTCCCTTCACCAGGCAGACCCTTCACCTACTGAGAAGGTCCCAGAACCCTTATGTGGTTCCCAGCCCCCGATTCCGGCCTCTCAGTTCCACTCAACAACTAACAAATACTTACGGAGTGAGCCCTCCTTATCTGCCAGGCTCCGTGCCGGCTGCTGACACAGCAGAGGCAAGACAGCAGCACCAGTCCATGTGGGCCGTCCAATCATGTGGGCCATCCAATCATGTGGGCTCGGTGCTGAGCACATTAGAGGTCAAGGGCTATGGGGTAGGTAGAACAGGAAAGGACAAGGAGACCCGGATGGAGATGGGGGCCTAGCTCCTGAGCAGCCACATGACGAATGATGTGACAATGAAAGGCGGGTCAGTGTTGAGACCACAGCTGCCCCACGCTCAGGACAGCACCCGGCCAAAGCCATCAATCAAAAGCCCACTTTAAGCCCCTTAGACTGCGGGGCTCTGGGGATGAGACAGGTTCTTTGGCAAGGTTGCCTGCGTACCGGCCCAGCCGACGGAAGCGGGCAGCATGGGCACCTCCCAAAGATTCCACACAGGTGCCTGGAAGTTTGAGTAGCATGGTGGACAGCGGCCTGGCTCCCACCTGGGTGAGGGATGGGCTGTGTCCTGGTCTACTCGGATTGCCATAGCACAGCCCCGCAGATGGCAGCGTAGCCAGCCCTGGAGGCTGGAAGGCCCAGGCCAGGGCCCAGACAAGCTCGGCTCCTGGCGAGGGCATGCCTTTGGGATTGCAAGAAGGCCACTTGGCCTTTACATGCCTTTCCTCTCCATCCGAGGGAGAAAGAGAGCGAGCTCTCTGGTGTGTCCCCCTACAGAGGCACCAACCCCGTCCGTCCAGGCCCCCACCTGCTGACCATCCTTTAACCTCGCTGACTTCCTCACGGGCTCCATTTCCAAAATCCATCCCCGTCGGAGGCTAGGACTTTGACACACGAACTTGAGGAGCACAAAATTCAGCTCCTAGCTGGTTGCCCAGAGACGCTGGTGGCACGGCAGAGGAGAGACAGCACCAGGGTGGGCCTGCGTCCCCAGGGCCAGCGTAGAGCGGCCTAGGGCCTGTCCTGGAGGACTGTGCAGTAAGGAGACTACAACAGGGGGTCCACCCACCGTGATCCACCCGTGTCCCGGGAGCTGAAGGAAGGACTCCGGTCACGAAGGGCAGAAACCAAGTCTGTCATGGCAGCCTCACGGCGACGCAGCAGCTGATGGGGTGATGGGTGTGTGCCCAGCAGCCCCCAAAGTGCTCCAGGAAGACAGGTCATGCTTCAGGCCCTGCAAGGCTTCCACGTGACAGCCACGTGGATGCAAGTGTGCCCCGCTATCCACAGGGGACTTGCCGGGACCCACAGCTGCCCAAGTCTTATCTGGGATGCCATAGGATTTGCAGAGAACGCATGCACGCCCTCCCGTATGTGCAAACCACCTGTAGGTGACTTACAGCCCCTAACACGACCTCGTGCTACATCAACACCCGCTGTACTGGGTTGTTTAGGGGACACTGGCAGGAAAGGGAGTCTGTGTCTGTGTCTAGTACAGGTTCACAGCTTTTCTCCTGAATATTTGTGATCCACGGACGTTTGAACACCGAGACGCAGGCCTCGTGGAGAGAGAGGGCCAGCCACCCCTGTCATGCTGAAATGATGCTGGTCGCCTCTGCTCTCCACCTTGTCCAAGGCCCTGAGGAAGAACACCAGGCAGCAAGGCTCCATGAGGCTCGTCTCGGACATCCTCTCCCAGGCGGGTTTCCTGCCCACACGAGAAGAGGTGGTGGAGAGACAACTGCATGTGAAATCCAGACTTGGATCAGGACGTGGAACTGATGTTTATTGCTGAAATGAATCCATATTTTGCAATTTTAGTTGCCTTGAGAAAGTGGAGCACTGTTTTTATTACCTAGGAGAGACTAGAAAATTCGTTCGGCCAACATTTGCATTCGGGGCCAGGGAAGAACCAATGCCGCAGAGGGGGTTTGTGGGAACAAGAACCTGCTCTCTGGGGCCCTCGCTCTCCCCCACCCCCAGAGTTTATACGTCCAACGCCCTCTAAACTGGGGACACCACACCCTGCCATGAAATTGCTCTGACAAGTTGAGCAATGGGTGCTGGTGTCTTAAGACACCTAGGGAAGCAGCTGGCCCGGACTAGGTGGAGGAGAAGTATCAGTATCGTTGTTGCTGAAGATAGTGACAGCGGCTGAGACATAATGGTGAATGCTGTGTGTCCGGTTCTAGAGCCGACTCTGTGCTCAGGTCAGTCTCCAGCGCTGAGGGGCTCAGAGGAAGCTCAGACTGCAAGGCAGCCTGGCCTCTCTTCCCTGGCCAACACAGCTTCTGAGTTTTATGTGGAAATCTTAAACCTCTCCTTCTCGTTCGGTCTCCATTGGTCGAAGCTTTGAAAGCACAAGAAGTGCTGTATCCGGTTTCTCCCCAGCCTCCTGCTGAATACACATCACTGTTTTCCAGAAAGCTCGGCATCTGGCCAGCGGTCTGGCCCCAGGGATCACGGATGGGACTGGACCGATCCCAAGGACTGGTTACCACAACACGTCATCCGCTCATGAATATCATTAAGTGAGCTGGGCTTCAAGAAACCTTAAACCTCAACCTTTAGCTCACTTCAGTCCAGACCATGATTGATGGCGACACCACGCCACAAATAAGTCATACATGGCTCGAGACCCTAATGCACAGTGGAGGAGTCATTTAACAATGGTCCTGGATAATGCCGTGTTAATGGCCGGCCCTGGTGGTCTGTTCTTACCAGGAACCCATTGCTCAGTCTGCACCGTGTTTTGCAGCCTGTCTGTCTGTTCACGGAGGCAACTACTTTACTGAATGGGCACCAACTATGCAATTGGCTGGGGTAACACAGAGACCATGGAGGTCTCAGCCTCAGCCTCTAGAGATGGAATGAGAAATGCCATTTTTTTTTTCCCAAGTCAGTTTGCCTTCAAGTGGGTCACGTTCCCATAGCTTAGCAATAGGATGCCCTCGCGTGCTCAGGAGCGGGGCAGGGAGAGACAGCAAGAGGTTGCATGGATAGGAGGCGAAGCTCTCGCAAACCCACAGGGTGAAATGAGAGGGCGTCTGGAAATGTGCAGGAGGAGGGTAAGTCAGCCAGTGCGGAGGGTGAACGGGCAGGCAGAGGGTGAGGTGGCAAAGACATACAAATCCAGACGAAGACGTGAGCCACACTGCCAACAGGAGCCACATGGGTACAAGAGAAGAACAGTAGGCTTGGAGTTCCTGTTTCTGACTGCTGCTTCTCCTGCTTGATTTAGAAGGCAACTGTACAAGTCTGATTGGTGGACGCGTGACATACAGAGACATAATGGTGACAATAAGAGAATAAAGGACATGCTCTAGGACCATCTAAAGAAGTCAGGAAAACAATCCCATTTGTATTAGCTACAAAAACATCAAATACTTGAGAGCAAATTTAACCAAGACAGTGAAATGCCTATATGCTGAGAACTATGTAACAGTGATTAAAAATATACAATATGATGAAGAGGATGCAATGTTGTTTATTTATTATAAATGTGATATCCCACATTCATGGATTGGAAGGAGGTTTTGGTAAAATGTCCGTTCTATCCACAGTGATCTATAGATCCAACGCAGCCCTTATCAAAATTCTCATTACATGTTTCACAGAAATTAAGAGCACAATCCTAAAGTCCTATGGAACCACAGAAGAGCCCACACAGCCAAAGCAATCGCAAGCAAAAAGAACAAAACTGGAGGCATCGCACTCCCCGACTTCAGAATACGCCACAAAGCTGCAGGAATCCAAACAGCGCATCACTCGGGTGGACACGTAACCCGCTGGAAGAGAACGCAGAGCCAGAGTCCTCACGTTCACAACCGACTGGCAGCGGAAGTGCCAGGACACACAGTGGGGAGGGGCCGTCTCTTCAAACGGTGGTGCTGGGAACTGGACAGCAGCGTGTGGGAGAAGGAGATGAGCCTCTTAGCTCAAACACACACAAAAATCAGTTCAAAATGCGCTAAAAACTTAAACGCTAAGACATGAAATTGTAAAAACTTTTAGAGGAGAACACGCATGGGAAGTTACATGGCAGTTCTCTGGGCAATGCTGGTACCAGTAAGATCCCAAAAATACAGGAAGAAAGCAAAATAGACAAATAAATGATGTTACATCAAATTAAGAATCCTCTGCGTAGCAAAGGAGATAATCCACAGAGTGAAAAGGTAATCTATAGGCGAAAATATTTGCAAGCCATAGATGTAGAAGGGGTTACTGTGGGGAGCAACTCGGACTAGACTAAGTTACTGGAATTAAGACTTATTCTATGCATCTGCTCTCCCACAATATGGCGCTGGGAGAGGAGTAAACAACGTTTACACAGCTGCCTCCAGTTCGACCAGTAACCTGCAGGAGCTGATCCTGCTCCTGATTGGAGGAGAGCAGCGTACTCGGCGTGTGGGTAGCAGAGTTGGGATTGGTGGAAGAGGACTATAAAGGAGGAGAGAGAACAACATGCACCAGGAACATCTAAGGGGAACATCCGGATAACATCTGAGCAGCCCCCGAGAGAGCCGGCCGGCCGGCGGTGTGCCACTCCTCCACGGAAGTGGGGAAAGTGGCAGGGGGAGCCGCCCTTCCACGGAGGTGGAGGGTTGGCAGCCAACCCAGGAAGGACCAGCAGCAAACCCGGGGAGGGCCAAGCAGACAAAAGAACAGCGCAGGGTCCTGTGTCGCTCCTCCGCGAATGGGGGAGCGACAGTTACTATCCAAAATATATAAGAATCCAAACAACTCAATAGCAAGAAAACAAATAATGTGATTTAAAAATGGGAAAGAACCTGAAGAGACGTTTCTCATGGAAGGACATACAAATGGCCAACAATCCTATGAAAAGCTTGTGGACATCACTAATCATCAGGGAAATACAGATCTAAAACCACAATGAGGTATCGCCTCCCATCTGTTAAAATAGCTGTGGCTGGGGTAGGCGTTTGGATGTTAGGACACTAGCTTCTCCCACTGGACCACCTGGGTTCAAGCCCCAGCTCCAGCCGCTGGCTCCAGCTCCCTGCTCATGCGGACCCCGAGAGACAGCAGCGATGGCTCCAGCAGTCGGGTAGTTGCCGCCCCTGTGGGAGGCACGGACGGAGCTCCGGAACCTGCATCTCAGCGCAGTCCCAGCAGGTGCAGGAGCATTTTGAGAATGAACCAGTAGGTGGGGGCGTGAACCTGCGTGCCCTCCCCTAACCCCCTGCCTCTCTCCCTCCCTCAAAGTAAGAAATCTGTAAAAACAGTGGCTATTACAAAAAAGATGAAAGAGAAGCATAGGGCCGGCACCGTGGCTCACTTGGTTAATCCTCCGCCCGCGGCGCCAGCATCCCAACATCCCGTATGGGCGCCGGGTTCTAGTCCCGGTTACTCCTCTTCCAGTCCAGCTCTCTGCTGTGGCCCGGGAGGGCAGTGGAGGATGGCCCAAGTGTTTAGGCCCTGCACCCACATGGGAGACCAGGAGGAAGTGCCTGGCTCCTGGCTTCAGATCAGCCCAGCGCACTGGCTGTAGCGGCCATTTTGGGGGTGAACCAATGGAAGGAAGACCTTTCTCTCTGTCTCTAACTCTACCTGTCAAATAAAAAAAAAGAAAGAGAAGCATTGACCAGGATGTGGAGAAACAGGAAACTTTATACACTGTCGGTGGTAATGTAAATTAGCACAGCCAGTAAGAAAAACAGTATGGAAGTCCTCAAAAAAAAAATATAGTTACCACATGATGCCGCAATTCTGCTACTGGATATTTACTCAAATAAAGAGAAATTAGTCAAAGATATTTGTGCCCCCAGGCTTACTGCATCATTATTTAGAAACACCAAGGCACTAATTCCTTAAAGGACACACTTCCCAGCACTGCTACAATGGCAATCAAACTTCAGTAGAAGTCCTGGTGGGGACCAATCACACCCAAACCCCATAATGATGTGTAGACTAAAAACAAGGAAACATTGTCTAAAAAAAATAAAGAGGGGCAGGCATCGTGGTGCAGCAGGTAAAGCCACTGCCTGTGATGCTAACGCCCCATATGGGTCCTGGCCTGGCTGCTCCACTTCTGATCTAGCTTCCTGCTAATGCACCTGTAAAAACAGCAGACGATGACTGAGTGTTGGAGCCCCTGTAGCTGTGTGGAAGACCTGGACAAAGCTCCTGGCTTCGGCTGGAGCCAGCCATTGTGGCCATTAGGGAGTGAACCAATGGATGGAAACTCGCTCGCTCTCTCCCTTTTTCCTTTCTTACCCCTCCCTCACTCCGCCTCACCCCCTCTCTCACTCCACCTCACCCCCTCTCTCACTCTGCCTCACCCCCTCTCTCACTCCACCTCACCCCCTCTCTCACTCCGCCTCACCCCCTCTCTCCCCCTCACTTCTCCTGTCTGCCTTTCCAAATAAATAAACAAACCTTGAGGGGGGAAAAAAAAGAAAAAAGAACACAAAACAAATGGAAAGACATCCCTTGTCCTTAAATTGGAAGATTTAATATTAAGATGGTGATACTACCCTAATTGGTCTACAGATTCAATATAATTCCTAATAAAATCTCAACTACCTATTTCTACAAAGATATAAAAACTAGTTCTAAAATATCCTTTTAAATATGGCAAAGAATAGCCAAAAGAATCTTAAAAAAGAAAAACAAGAATAATTGGATGTGGTGGAATGAGAAGGCCATGCCAAGATGGCCGCTGGCAAGCGAGCATCAGTTACTCAGGAATGGCTTCGAAACCCACCTGGCAACAGAGACTGCCTGGCAACAGGCTGTGATTGGTTAGGGCATAAGCCACCCCTTGACCAGATTGGCTGCCTTGGCTATTTAAGCTGCTGTACTAACTGAAATAAACGAGTCTGCGGGCTGCTCCCCTCTGGCCGGCTTTCACCCGACTCCTGGTGTCTGTGTGGTGACTCCACACCTCTTGCCCCCACCACGCTCCTCCTCTCAGAAAGAATCCACGGCAACAAGTGGATTTCTCCATGGTAATCAAGTTCAATTTCTCCATGGTAATCAAGATAGTGTGGTTAGTTAGTACTGGCACAAGGATAAACCCAAACATGTATAGTCATTTGATTTTCAACAATCATAATCCATTGAATTGAGAATATTTTCAACAAATTGTGCTAGGACAACTAAATATTTATGCAAACGAATGAATTGGATCCCTACCTCACACCATGTATGAAAACTTAACTCCAAATAGAACAAAGTCATGGGGCTGGCTGCCTGCAGTGCTGGCATCCCATATGGGTGCCTGTTCAAGTCCCAGATGCTCCACTTCCGATGCAGCTCTCTGTTGTGGCCTGGGAAAGCAGTGGAGGATGGTGCAAGTCCTTGGGCCCCTGCACCCACATAGGAGACCTGGAGGAAACTCCTGGCTTCAGATCAGCACAGCTCCACCCGTTGCGGCCAGTTGGAGAGTGAACCAGCAGATGGAAGACCTCTTTTTCTTTCTGCCTTTCCTTCTTTGTGTAACTCTTTCAAATAAATAAATAAATCTTTTAAAAAAATAGAATAAAGTCCTAAATGTAAAAAATAAAAGTCTCCAAATAAAACATAAACACTTTTACAATATTGGAGTAAGAAATGGTTTGGGGAGGCCAGTGTTGCAGTGTAGCTGTTAAAACCGCAGCCTGTGACACCAGAATCCCATATGGGCACTGGTTTGAGTCCCAGATGCTCCACTTCTTTTTTTTTTTTTTTTTAATTTGACAGGCAGAGTTAGACAGTGAGAGAGAGAGACAGAGAGAAAGGTCTTCCTTCCATTGGTTCACTCCCCAAATGGCCGCTATGGCCAGCGCGCTGGGCTGATCCAAAGCCAGGAGCCAGGTGCTTCCTCTTGGTCTCCCACGTGGGTGCAAGGGCCCAAGCACTTGGGCCATCCTCCACTGCCTTCCCGGAACACAGAGGGAGGGAGGGGGAGAGAGGGGGAGAGAGGGGGAGGGAGGGGGAGGGAGGGGGAGGAGTAGCCTCATTGTGCTTCCTTCACGGTGCTCAGCACACCAGCGATCACATGGTTGCTCCACTTCTCACCGACCAGAGATCAGCAGGTGTGAAATAGATGAGAACATTTGTGCGTTCCTCGTCTGAGGATCACCTGTCCACCAGGCCCTGGGCTAGGAGCCGAGATCTCAATCAGGAGACGGATGGAGATGAGAGGCCCCCGGTGGCTCCTGTCCGAAGAGGGAGGACGGCGGGGCCCTGGCACAGCCACCACTCCTTGGATCCTGGCATCCAAGAGCATCCTGCCCTGTGTTTGGACCACAGCCCAAGCACAGGACAAAACCCAGGCTGGAGGAGGCCTCTGCTCCAGTCTCGGCCAGGGTTTGCTGTCGGCGTGGGCGGGCCAGAGGGAGGAGCCGGCCCTGCCTGGAAGGTTCGCTCACGCTCTCGTCAGGAGCCGTCCCTGTCCCACACCCACAGCTTACACTTGGCTATTTAGGTCTTTAGTTCTTTGCGTTCAGGAGCAGAGAGTTGAC